CTACTGCATGGAGACTGAGCAGGCATCCAGCCCTATGGAATGGGCTCCTAAATGCCAAGTGGTGCAGCAGTGATAGAGCCTGGTCCATTTTATAATACCTACTGCACCATTACATACCTTTGTTAGACAGGCTACTTTAATAAACATTCAGTTTTGCTTCTTATTTGGACATTTCAAATAAAATTATGTGGTCTTATATACCAGCAAATATATAACCATAAATTTCAACAAATTGTAGATTTATAAATGATATTTTTGGGAATTTTCTTAAACACTATAGTTTTGAAATGGAAGTATATTTAATATGAAAATCATTTGTATAACTTAAAAATCTATTTTCTACATTCAACAACATTGACAATACATATAAAATTTTATTTATCAGATAATTAACACTGAAAATGATAATTGGTTTTCTTTTTAGTTCTTTTGCTACGTGGAAATGGATTTTCGAGTATTCTTATAATCGTATTTTTATTATTGTGATCACATTAAATAAAAATTCCTACCTTGACAAATGATAAACTTTCATAAAAATATCTTTTGGTATCTTTTCTTTTGTTCAAGTTGGCATGTGAAATTATTCTTTTCACTATACTTTCTAGTATAGTCTAGAAATTAAAGTTGGTAAAACATGATCCAATTAATGCAAAGGAAAGAGTCACAGGAAGCAGCAAGAGATCATTCATATTGGACCCTAAAAATACCTAAGTGGTTAGTAAATCCCAGGCACAAAAACAGTCATAAAAAGGATATAACTAGGGAAAGGACATAAAAATAGATTTTATAAATTAAAATCTCATAACTGATTTATGAATGAGAGGGAGAATATAGGTTTAGGGAGCTATTGTTGGCATATAGTTAAAAAGTAATAATTATATCTGTACAGTGAGAGTGGAAAAAGAATAAAAAGATGGTAGGATCTTGAACATCTAGTTGGTCTGTGTGTGAATAAGAATCACTGATGATTTTCAAAAAAAAAGAAATTATTCTTTTCAAGTCCATCACAAGTTATTTGAGACGGTGTTAATGAGAAAATATTAGAGTATAATTTCGTGGGGAAGTCTGCTAGTTTGTCCTACTAGAACATGGCATGTTTTACAAGCTTTGTTTCCTCTATCACTATTTTATCCTTGGCCACATTTTAATATTAATTTTACATTTAAAATTTAATGTTTTAATTTATCAGTATTATAATTCATTTAACAAACCAACAATGTAACAAATGTAGGACTCACGTGAAAGCTTTATCATCTCCTGGAATAACTCAGATCTGCCTAGTAGAGATGATGGATAAAACTTGATTCTCTTTTGAAACCTGCCTAACAGTAATTTTGAGGAATATCAAAGTCTAAAAATGGGTACTTGGTCCAAGAAAATGACATATTTGCTCTTTAATTTTAAAAGTAACATTCTTTGACAATATTTTAAATTACTCACCTTATATACTTATTCCACCTCCCTGAGAGACTGTTGATAACTAAAACTTGTTTGGACAGACAGATGTCTTTATTGGTGCAGCAGATGATGTCATTGTTTTTATTGATAGAAAAATTAGACATGAGTTGCCTCTACTGCCCAAAAAAAAACCCTTCACAAATGTCAGTAATTAGCACCATTTTAGTTGAATTTGAAATTTCTGAAATTCCAGTCACTAGCAGATAATGGATTTTAAATATATGTAGCATAAAAATAATATTTCTACAGGAAACTGAATTATTTCAAATATTATAAAAATATACATCAGAAGAAAGATTAGAGAATTCTAAACCACAGTAACAACAAGAAGAGTTAACTTGAGCTGCAGGGTTAAAATATGCTTGAGGCAAGGAAAAGTCAAAGACGAGAGAGAGAGAGAGAGAGAGAGAGAGAGAGAGAGAGAGAGAAGGAGATTCTTTTGCACTACCACCTGCTTTGTGTTGTCTTTATAATTATCCAATCACATTTTATTGTCATGTAAAAATGATTCCATGGCTTTGATACCAAGAACATTTTGGCCAGGTGGTGGTGGTCCACGCATTTAATCCCAGCACTTGGCAGGCAGAAGCAGGTGGATCTCTTTGAGGTCAAGGCCAGCCTGGTCTACAAGAGCTAGTTCCAGGTCAGCCTCCAAAACTATAAAGAAACCCTGTCTCAGAAAAAAAAGAAAAAGAAAAAGAACATTTTTATGTGACTATTTTTAAATTCACTTATTTTTAATTCTAATGTTATCTCCAAAGTTCTGCAAATAGTTGATATTCATTCCTCCTTTATAAAGTTTTGTCACTGACATTTGATCACATATTATTTCTGTGAAAACAAAAGGGTATTTTATTTGTGTGTTTGCATTTACGTTTCTTGTATTGTTCATTGATAAGGTAATTTTAAACTGTCCTATTTTTAAAATAAAAGTCTGGATTATTGAGGGTCAAAAGAGTCATAAGCAGTAGTTGTCTTATTTCAATATTTTGTAGAATGTTTATTTATTAACATCCTGGTATTGATTCTTTGATTGTCTTCAGACTAAAATTAATGAAATAGAAAAATAGGAATACTTTACTTTCCACTTGTAGAACAGCATTTCTCTATGCAAAAAAAGATGTCACTGAAATATGATGAAATATAATATAAATGATAAACTTCATCAAATGTGTCTTGACCAAAGAAGTGTGTTCAAGCATTGTCTAAATTTCTGAGTCATTGTCATTGAGTTCAAGTATTATTTACACAAAAATGTTATATAAATCAGTGTCTCTTTGATTTATTATATATAACCCCACTGGGAGGAGAAATATGGAGGGCATTTGACTAATGTAATATTAAATGTATATTTTAAGTGGCTGCATGTAAGACTAATACAAAATATATAGAATGAGTACATATTTATACCTTTTCATTAAAGATAACTAATGGGGCATTGTTCTTCATTGTTAGCTATAACATTGATCTCCAATGCTATTTTATTGGAAATTAATGTGAAATCCATATACATATTAGTTCTATGGGTCAGTAACGTAAGTAAAAAATTAAAACATGTTATCTTTTGTTTCAAAAAAAACTAGAACTGAGTATAAATGTCAGTCATATGACTATCATTGTCCAAGCATTCATGTTTAAGTTAATTTAACCCACTTCAAATCCCAATATTATTCTTTGACTCAAAGAATCCTTACTTGGTTAAATACTTGCCAGAAACAATCTTATTAACCAGACAATTCCCACTGAGCACCAGTAAGCGTTCAGTATTTGAGAACACGGTGTTATGATAGATAGCACCACATTCCAAAATGTAATTCTAACTACATCGGCCTCAGTGTACTTTTCGAAATAATTAATTCAACCACACTGCCTCTTCAGCCTGCTTCAGAATTACTTATAATGTACAGAGAGCTCTCTGCCAGTAATTCTTGAACTTATCATGTTGTTATTTATTTTCAGAATGCCTCAATTTTCACATCCTCTATTCATTATGTATTAGTCTTTATTCTCATGTCTTCACAAATAGATATTAGTCACTTACTATAAACCAAGGAAATGGTGCTAGGAAGCACACTTATCTTATACAGCACTTTATACGTTCTTTACTTCCTGGAACTTACAAACCATTGTTTTTGAAAGTGCATTCAATGCATTTAAATGGGAATCAAAGCCTGCAGAACTTTGCAATATCCTTGGAGATGCACAGAAAATTGCAAAGCAAGGTTTAGAATTACTGCCTAATAATAGAATTTTCAACTATAAAATATACCGGAGTGAAAGAAAGTAAATATCTTTAGATTGCTTACCAAGGGCATGTCTCAAGTTTTGTAGAAGGTAGTAATGAATATCTGCAATTACTGTATGCCAACTCTGACCCTGACTACATTGGTTTTATGTGTACACGAGATTATTTTGCAGTGTCTCTGTAGTTAGGGAATTACTATGATTGTACACTAAATACTTCAGGCCACAAAGGTGAGAATGATTCAGTAGTATTTATCCATAGATAGATAGAAAGATAGATAGATAGATAGATAGATAGATAGATACATAGATACATAGATAGATACACAGATAGATGATAGATAGATGATAGATAGATGATAGATAGATAGATAGATAGATAGATAGATAGTCGACAGACAGACAGATGATAAATAGATTAGATAGATAGATAGAGACAGACAGACAGACAGATAGATAATAGATAAGGAATGATTTCTTGAAAAGGTTGTGTTTATGACAACCAGTTGACTATGTTAGGAAGCAGAATAAGCATCATGTGGAAGAGATTCTGCTTAGCTATTACTCCAACGTTTCAATGGTACAGTTTAACCATTGTGTAATTCTCACTACAAAGAATGTATGCAATGCTGTGGGATAATGCTCTTTTAACCTGTAAAGATTTGTCACTCGTATTGGTTTAATAAAATGCTGATTAGCCAGGAGGCAAGTAGCAAAATATAGGTGTGCTGACCAGACAAGGAAGAAAGATGAAAATGCTCCACTAAGAAAAGGTGCCAAGCCATGTGGCTAAACGTAGATAAGAATTATGGGTCAATTTAAGTTGTAAGAGCTAGTTAACAATAAGCCTGAGATAATAGGCCAAACAGTTTATAGTTTATATAAGCCTCTGTGTGTTTGTTTGGGACTTAACGGCTGTGGAGCCAGGTGGGACAAACTTCTGTCTACAGTACAGTAATGTGCAATGAGAGTGAACGAATGAGCAATGATAGCTTAGTGAACTTCTCTCTTCAAAAAATAAAGAGAAACCGGGCGGTGGTGGCGCACGCCTTTAATCCCAGCACTCGGGAGGCAGAGGCAGGTGGATCTCTGTGAGTTCGAGACCAGCCTGGTCTACAAGAGCTAGTTCCAGTACAGGCTCCAAAACCACAGAGAAACCCTGTCTCGAAAAACAAAAACAAAAATAAATAAATAAATAAATAAATAAAGAGGAGTAATGTTTTACAGTGTATATTAATGTTGCCAAGGACTGTGAGGACCATTCCTTGATTTTCCCCATGCTTTTTGTTTCTTTGTAGAACGATTCAATGTTTATCTTATGCCTACACCCAACCTGGATATTTATGGTGAATGCACAATGCAGATCACTCATGAGAATATCTATCTCTGGGATATCCACAATGCCAAGGTCAAGCTGGTGATGTGGCCTCTTAGCTCACTAAGAAGATATGGTCGGGATTCAACGTGGTTCACCTTTGAGTCAGGAAGGTAAGTTCCAATTTCATGACAGAAATGTAGCTATGTGTGTAACAGAGTCCTGTGAGAAAATTTCTGGCCACCATTGCTAGATATAAACATTACCTTTATAAAAGGTCAAAGCTACCAAATACAAATACCTACTGCTTCTTATTAATGATTTTAAAAATATTAATTATAACATAACTGGCTAATTACCCCAGTCAAACTCATTTTAGTCTCAAACATGCATATCAAGACATTATAATAATGTAAGGTATTAAAATGTTATAATAATAATTTAACATATTTTCATGCAGTAATATTCCTATGCAATTAAATGTGTCGTTGGTTGTATTATTTTTTGTGAATTTATGAAAAGAAAATGATATTAAGTGCTGTTTTAAAAATTATATACTACATTTTAGGTTTCAAATAAGTTACACAACGTCTTCACCACATTTTATGCTGGTAACATTATTGAGTAATTTAATACTCAAAATAACTGAACAAATTTTGTCTTAGCCACAATTGTCATAAAACAAATAGGTTGACTTTTGCATCACAGAATATGGCTAATAACCATACATGCTTGGAATGAATGGATTTCTCACAATTATTATGAATAGACATGATTATACATGAGCTTCGGACAATGAAATTAACATTTTTAATCCTCAGACCTCTTTGGGAAAATATACACCTAACATGAGACTTAAGTTGGGGAATTGTTTTTTTCCACATCAGAACTGAAATCAAAGCCTCCTACTTGAGTGAGTGCTCTAGCCAATGATCTACATATTAAGCCTAGATTTAAAATTTCTATGTGACAAAGTGACAGTTAGTGCATCAGTCTTCCAGGTGGGAACTGATTTAACACACTGTTCAAATGAATTCATAGTCTTAAACAAAAATTATGACTGAGGTTCCAATGTATACAACATATCAACTTTAATCCATAACGTTCTTCATATAAAATGTTTAAATATTTAAGTATAGTTGGGTTCTAATAATATTCATCCTAGACAGGTCACATGTCTCTTAAAATTTAAGAACAAAAATCCCTCAGCTGCAGTAATTTTCATAGAATGAAGTACTTTTACACCAAGAAAATATTACATTATCATGCTAATTTCCCTGAAGAACCTTGAATCTTGTGTTTACTTAGTAACTCCGAGCTCATCCAACTATTTCTTTCTGCCTAGAAACTCAGGGTACAATATGATCGTATTCTGTATAACAATTGAAAATAAAATTTTTAACACAAAGAATATTTTTAGACATGTACACTGCTTTAAAAAATTATCACATTGTATAAAAGGATGGTAATTCTCTAACGATTCACTCATCTAAAATATTGTTTACTATAAACTAAAGATTAGTGTTATAGGGGGATAAATAGGTAGATAAATAAGTTAATAAAGTGCTTATCTATAAGCATGAAGACCTAATTTTCATTCCAGAACACACATAATGAAAACAAAACACACAAACAAAGAACCTTGGGCATTGTGGTCCGTCCCTGAAATACAGTATTAATGAAGCAGAGACAGGAGGAAACCTGGGCATCTGTGGTCACCACCTAAGTTGTGGGATAGGCCAGTGAAAGACCCTGGGTTGTTTAGTGGTGCTGTCGGTAAGGACGAATCACACCATACAACAAACTTTCAAGTTTGAGATTTATTAGCAAAAGGGAAGGGCTGGGAAAGAAGAGGCATAAGTCCTGCAGTCTCTTCAGAGAAGCGGCTGGAAAAGGGAGGTGGAACGAGCGGAATTTGATTTTAAAGGAGGTTTAGTGCATGTGCACAGAGACTGCCCAGCGATGAAGCACACACACACACACACACACACACACACACACACACACACACACACTGACTAGGTGTCGGTCGTAGGATCTTGGGCTGTCCAGGCATCTGCCTGAATGCTGACAATGCATATGCACAGGGGATGCTTTCAGCGACTACAGCTGAAGACCCTGGGGGCAGGCTAGTTTATGCCTGAAATGCTAGCAAGCACTTGGACATAGGGAGTTGTTGTGGTTGGTGATGTGTTCTGTTAGGACCCAGAAAGGCAGCACAGCATAATGCTGACACGTCTCAAAGGAGATCAATGATTTGAGGATGAAACCCAAAGTTGTCCCCTAGCATCTGCACACACACACACACACACACACACACACACACACACACACACAGAGTCACACAGTAAGAAAGAGAGAGAGCGCGCGCACAACACGAACTACTGTTGCTGGGCAGGGTGGTGTATACCTCTCCTTTATCTTTTTTTTTTTTTTTTTAATTTGGGTTTTGATTTGTTAGGGAGGTTGCAAGGGTAGAGGGCAAATGTAACAAATCAAAACAAAACTTAAAAGAAAAAAAGAAGAATCTTACTGTGAAAGCTGTAGTGTAGTATGTTAAATCATGCAGTTCGCCATTTAGTCCATTCATCTTTATTGCAAGTGTTCACTGCCATGAGTCATTGGTCTCGCTAGAAGCCTATGGTTTCCAGAGATACCACCAATAATGCTCTGTCACTGGGGCTACTCTTGGATATGCTGGTTTCTGTGTCATAGAGATCCAGACACTTCACATACTCCAACAATTCATAGATGAGGTGGGTGCTGGGTGGGCCAACTCATAGCCCTGGTTCTGGACCTGGGTGGTAGCTTTGCCTCATCTTCACTACCTGGTCAAGCTCTCCATCACTGCGTTGGCTACCTCACCCAATGTAACCTACAGCAAGGAGTGGATGCAGGGCCCATTCTTCTATATGCTGTAGCTGGTGTGGGGCAGGGCTAGTTCTCTCACTCTGTGACCCTGCCACCAGCTCTCTCACCTGCCAGAGATAGAAAGGGGTGGAAGGGGAGGGCATCTTTTCCTCAACTGTGCTACCACTTGGCAGACAAGAGAGGGTGGGGTCAGTGCTCTTGTCATGTCTTCAGAGCTGGCTCACCTGCATCCCCAGCAACAAGGTCAGCTACAGTGTGCTGTCCAGACAGGAAGCAGAGCCACTACTTCGGGCAATTTCATACCTATTTTTAATTAATTAATTAATTTTTTAAAAAACTATCCTTTTTCACTTTATATTCCAATCCCCGTTCCCACTCCCTCCTCTCCTCCTGCTTCCTCCACCTTTCCCTACCCTCAACTTCTCAGAGAGGGTAAGGCTCCCCATGGAGTCAACAAGATTATTACATTATGATTTATAACACTAGCAAAGTTAACATTATGAAGTACCAATAACAATAATTTTACGATGAGGTGGTCACCACACATGAGGAACTGTATTAAAATGTCTTTCTTGGCATTATGAAATTTGAGAACTCATGCTCTCAAAACACAACCAGAAGAAATCCATTTTAAGCCAAGTGAGAACATATCCTACTAACATATTGATTTTGAGTTATCCAGTCTTCAGAACTGTGAGATCATAATTTTCTTTAGCTTAAGCTGCTCCCAGGCTTGAGATTGACAACACCTTGAGGTTTAGATTCTAGACTGAATGAATGTGGAGAAGGTGAACACTCATTTCTCTCTCCTCATATTGTAGGTGTGGTGTGACAAGTTATTTTAAGTTCCTGCTGCCTTAACTTCCGTACTGTGATTGTGTAAAACCTGGCACTTTGAGCTAAAATAAACCTTTAATTCCCTTAGATGCTCTTTGTCAGGGTATTTTAGCATAGCAACAGAAATTAAACTAAGACAATAGGTGTTGTCATAAAAGCAGTTTAAAATTATGAACTCACAGAACAAAAAGAAAATTCTCATTTAGTAGTAAAATGAAGGTAGAAGTGTTTTTAAATCTAAATAGATACAATTAATGAGCCATATATTGGTGAATTTTGTGTCATCAAAGCTAACTCTACTGTTTTTCTGAAGACATTCTAGACAAAATGAAAATACAAGCCAGGGCCAGGGGGAAAAACTAATGATATTATTGGAAAACTGAAGGCGTAAGTCACAAACAATGCCACACCAATTCGGGGTTATGATTATTAGGGTGGTATTTATTTAAAGGGGAAAAAACTTACAGATCACTGTCCCAGGCAACAGCCCTCTTCGCAACCAGGAAAGGAGTCTAGTCGCAGGCAGAGCAGGAAGTGAAGAGAGAGAGAAGAGGGAAGTGGCCGCTGTTTTAAAGGGAGAGAAACCACACCCCAGTGGGCTGGTACCTCAGCGGTGATAGGCTGGAGGAGTGGGAGGACCTCCCGCAACACCTCCCCCTTTTGTTTAAATAAGAGAGTTCTAAACCTACTATGAAATTATATACAATAAGTACAAATATCCTATTCTAACTAGCTTAGGTCTTGTATAATAAATAACTTGGCCAAGTCATGAGAGAAAGTAACTACATTTATATAGTCTTCAACCCCATCGAAGATCTGAGAAGGGAAATAATGTTACCTGGGTAATTAGGAAGTTCAGTAGAACAACTTCCAAAACATGCAACAAATTACAGAGACAACTAGCTACCTGGGCAATCACCCAAAGTCACATTAGCAGCGTTGAAGCAACCAACTTTGGCTAAGGCCTAACATAACTGACATACCATTTTCTAAGGCAAGCAACTTTTCAAAACTATCTTACCCTGTCTTGGCAGGATATGACAGTCCTGTTTTATCCATTGATGCATGCTCTGTATTTTTGTCAGTTGTTGAGGTATGGGCATTTCTTTGCCCAAACGCCAGTTCTGCCAAAAAGAAAGGCTCCAGGTGGAGTGTCTTTGGTGCTCAACATTCTCTCGGGAATAGAGTGGTGTTGCCAGGAGCAATTGTGTCGCACTACCACAAAACTCTGAGTTAGATTAAAGGCCATTTTCTACAGCTCTTTGAAGAAGTTGAAGATTATCTATCTATACTGAGTATAATCTCTATATATCTAAAGAACCTGATTAGTCTATTATAAATGAAAAACTTAGATGACTATTAGTCTATATAATTCTCAATATCTATCTAACTTAAAGACTAAGACAATAAACGACTGTGAAACAAATGAGGACAATGACCTCCAAATATAAACAATGTACAAATA